CTCGCGCCTCTAGCGGTGAAAATGAGGGGTAATACCAGCTGACCTAATGTACATGTAAAGTTTGGAGCGGGACGTTTCACAAGAGTGACATCCACGGCTCAATTTATAATTGTAACAAATAGTATTGGAATAAAAACATTCAATCGGGTAAAACACGGGCGTTGCCCGGGTCATTCATATAATATAGTCACGACCGTCTTTCCTCAATTCCTCATCGCTGTCACGGATGCGCGCGCATCATCATTATGATCATTATCTTCTATAGAAGCTTCTATCTTTATAATTATGTATATTTACAAAAAGTCAATTCGCTCGCGACTCTAGCGATGAAAATGAGGGGTAATACCAGCTGACCTAATGTACATGTAAAGTTTGGAGCGGGACATTTCACAAGAGTGACATCCATGGCTCCAATTTATAATTGTAACAAATAGTATTGGAATAAAAACATTCAATCGGGTAAAACACGGGTGTTGCCCGGGTCATTCGTCTAGTCAACATATATAGTCACGACCGTCTTTCCTCAATTCCTCATGTCACGGATGCGCGCGCATCATCATTATGATCGTTATCATTATCTAATGATAATAATAATAATAATTATTATTATATTAATATTAATATTATTAATAACCCCCCCCCCCCCTTCCCATCATCTTCAGTCATACTCGTTCAAACCGGTTTTTGTCTCTCACTAGTCATTAAATACCAATTTCATAGATGGCAGCCCAGAACACAACCTTTAACCGTACAAATCCACCCGTAATAGTTACTTGGATACAATTAGTTATACAGTTGAAGATCCATTACAGTCATTTATTTGCCTCATTGTTATTCTTTTTCTTCCAGCTAATGTTTTCTGCATTTCTTGCATTGCTCTCTAGAATTTTTATTTTCGTACTTTTTCACTTTTACAAATAGTTAAATTGTTCATTTGCATGCCTTTTTTATATTCTTAATATTTTTATTTTTATGTAAATTAATACGTGTATATATTCCCTACAACCATCGATATCTTGCTTAGTATAGTTAAATTTTTGCCTGTCGAAGGGCTTTTGCCCGAAAGCTCGTAGCATTTATACAATAAAAGAAACTCATCTTCTGAACCTTTCTTAATTGATATTATTATTATTATTATTATCAACATATATAGTCACGTACGTCTTTCCTTAATTCCTCATCGCTGTCACGGATGCGCGCGCATCATCATTATGATCATTATCATTATCTAATGATAATAATAATAATTATTATTATTATATTATTATTTTATTATTTTATTATCAACATATATAATCACGACCGTCATGGGTTCTGTCACGGATGCGCGCGCATCATCATTATGATAATTATCATTATCTAATGATAATAATAATAATAATAATAATTATTATTATTATTATATTATTATTATTATCCATCCATCAACATATATAGTCACGACCGTCATGGGCCGGCCGGTTCTGTCACGGATGCGCGCGCACAGGGAGGTCACGTGCTCGCCGGCAGCCAACGGGCGCGCGCCGCCGGCATTACGTCATAGATTATAAACACAAGGTAATACGGCCAAATAAAAAAATAGTGTGTGATAAGGCACAATTTGGATTATCTACTTATATAATTGCCTTATTCTCTCTGTGTGAAGTTCACGGATAGATTTTGGTCAGAATGGATAAAATAAAAAAAAGTGTCAAGGGATGGGAATCGAACCCACGACCTTCCGCTTACCGGGCAGATGCCATGACCACTAGGCTACCTTGGACATATTTTTCCGTTCACATTTTTATTTTTATATTTTCAAGACACACACAGTTTGGGGCGGGACGTTTCACAAAAGAGACATCCACGGCGCCAATTTATAATTGTAACGAATAGTATTTTAATTAAAACATTTTAAAAATATATACGCACTCGGGTAAAACCCGGGCGTTGCCCGGGCCATTCGTCTAGTCTATATATATAATAAATTGAAGTATTTAAGCATGAATGTTTTCTTTTCACACAAATCAAACTTCTACATTTCCGCTTCTTTCTTCGAACTCTAATATTTTATTGGACGATTCTGCTTATATACGCACCACTGAAGGGTGTTAGAATCTCAGCAATAGTATTCAGGCAAACTATAGATATAAGCTTTTAGAACAGTAGAATTACATATAAATATTTGCATCGAGCAATGCTCTCCCGCAAACAATATGGTCCCTTGAAAACTACTCGATAAGTTGAATAAAATCAATATTAATTGGTTCCCTCGGTAATTGGAAGTTAAAGGAATAGTATCTTCGCCTTGGAATTGTGTCATTATTCTTGTCTCAAATAAATTGCCGTGTCATCCTGAGATAATCTTACTTTTGATAAATAATATTTAAGATAACAAACTTAGTGATAAGAAAGCTTGTTATCATCGTCACAATGGGGGCGCTGCTTGCGAGTTAAATCTACAAATCTGCAAATAACTCTAAGGATATTCAAGATATTCATGAAATTATTTTTCAAAAACCTTCCCGGTGATATACCTAATAATATCCCAAAATTAAACGGTGATTGAATGTATGGTTTTTGAATATATAGAGTACAGACAGACAGACAGACAGACATTCAATTTTATATATATAGACTAGCCGAATGACCCGGGCAACGCCCGTGTTTTACCCGACTGTAGATGTTACAACGGTGATCCTTAGGTCGCTGGTTCAAATCCGGCTCGAGGGAGCCGGCGAGCACGTGACCTCCTTGTGCGCGCGCATCCGTGACAGAGGCCGATGAGGAAAGACGGCCGTGACTATATATAGGGATAATATAATCTCTATATCTCTCTCTATATATATATAAAAGTCAATTTCTGTCTGTCTGTCTTTCTGTTTCGCGATAAACTCAAAAACTATTGAACCAATTGGTACCAAATTTTGCATGTCGCTTTTTATAAACCTGAGGAAAAATTTCGGCTGCATTTTGATTAGTATTTTTGGCTATTTATTTTTTTCATTTGAAGAACTTATTTTACGCGGACTAATCCGCAATGGAATGAATACCTAAATATGGCCATTTTTTTAAAGCATCGGTGGTTCAGTGGTAGAATGCTCGCCTGCCACGCGGGCGGCCAGGGTTCGATTCCCGGCCGATGCATTTTTTTAAAACAATTTTTAAAACTCATTTATATATTATATCTTCTATATACGTATATAAAAACTAGACGAATGACCAGGGCAACGCCCGTGTTTTACCCGATTGAATGTTTTTATTCCAATACTATTTGTTACAAATATAAATTGGAGCCGTGGATGTCACTCTTGTGAAACGTCCCGCTCCAAAATTTACATGTACATTAGGTCAGCTGGTATTACCCCTCATTTTCACCGCTAGAAGCGCGAGCGAATTGACTTTTTGTAAATATACATAATTATAAAGATAGAAGCTTCTATAGAAGATAATGATCATAATGATGATGCGCGCGCATCCGTGACATGAGGAATTGAGGACAGCGATGAGGAAAGACGGTCGTGACTATATATAGGGATGATAATAAAATAATAAAATAATAATAATAATATAATAATAATTATTATTATTATTATCATTAGATAATGATAATGATCATAATGATGATGCGCGCGCATCCGTGACATGAGGAATTGAGGACAGCGATGAGGAAACACGGTCGTGACTATATATGTTGATGTAAATAATAAAATAATAATAATAATATAATAATAAAAATTATTATTATTATCATTAGATAATGATAATGATCATAATGATGATGCGCGCGCATCCGTGACATGAGGAATTGAGGACAGCGATGAGGAAAGACGGTCGTGAATATATATAGGGACTAGACGAATGACCCGGGCAACGCCCGTGTGTTTTACCCGATTGAATGTTTTTATTCCAATACTATTTGTTACAATTATAAATTGGAGCCGTGGATGTCACTCTTGTGAAACGTCCCGCTCCAAACTTTACATGTACATTAGGTCAGCTGGTATTACCCCTCATTTTCACCGCTAAAGGCGCGAGCGAATTGACTTTTTGTAAATATACATAATTATAAAGATAGAAGCTTCTATAGAAGATAATGATCATAATGATGATGCGCGCGCATCCGTGACATGAGGTCGACAGACGGTCGTGACTATATATGTTGATAATAATAATAATTATTATTATTATTATCATTAGATAATGATAATGATCATAATGATGATGCGCGCGCATCCGTGACATGAGGAATTGAGGAATTGATTGAGGAGGAAAGACGGTCGTGACTATATATGTTGATAATAATAATAATATAATAATAATTATTATTATTATTATCATTAGATAATGATAATGATCATAATGATGATGCGCGCGCATCCGTGACATGAGGAATTAAGGAATTGATTGAGGAGGAAAGACGGTCGTGACTATATATGTTGATAAATGTTTGTATGTTTGTTTGTTGGTTTGTATGTCCGGTATACAAATTCGCTGTAGCTCACTAATTCAAACCAAAATTTCCATACATAGGTAAAAAATACGGGGAAGACGATAGGCTATTTTAAAAAATAATAAATCAATTATTAAAACTATATATTATTAGTCAGAAAATGATGATGACGATATTGCTGTATCATGTAAGATTATCAGATACAAAATTATATCGGGAAAAATTCCAAAAAGCAGAGACCACGGGTGAAACCAGCTCATTATTTTGTACGCAGGAACAAAATTCTAACAGAAAAACATTCTTTCGAGCAGAAAACAAAAGCCAGATCATCTTTCTATAAAAATATCGCTTCTCAGACACAAAGTTTGGAGCGGGACGTTTCACAAGAGTGACATCCACGCCGCCAATTTATAATTGTAACGAATAGTATTTAAATAAAAACATTTAATCGGGTAAAACCCGGGCGTTGCCCGGGTCATTCGGCTAGTATAATATATGTATGAGCACATTTTGTGTAGAAATATGATTAGTTGACTTTATAAGGTAAACTTATTCATACAGTTTGTATCCCTCGATAGCTCAGTTGGCAGAGCGGAGGACTGTAGATGTTACAACGGTGATCCTTAGGTCGCCGGCTCAAATCCGGCTCGAGGGAGTTTTTTTTTTAAGTGCGCGCGCATCCGTGACAGAGGCCGATGAGGAAAGACGGTCGTGACTATATATAGGGACAAGAATGACATCCACGGCGCCAATTTATAATTGTAACGATAAGTATTTGAATAAAAGCATTTAATCGGGTAAACCCTGGGCGTTGCCCGGGTCATTCGGCTAGTATTATATATTAAATACATTTATATTTTATCAGATATTAGTTCTAATTTTGTGCTAGAATTCTATGTAATTTATAATAGCCATGTTTTAAATTTTCATAGATTTCTTCACATATAAAATTTGCATTTTTATATTTTGTAGAAGGAATAAAAGTTAACGGCGACGATTTTATTAATGCTGTAAATTCGGCAAGCTTTCGTACTTTGACGTCCTTCGACAGGCAACTTTCCAAGAAACTAGATTCCAAAATCACTTTATTAGGTACCGCTCAACAAGAGAAACCTAGTTTATGATAATTGAAACAATGAATAATATGTGAGTTATTCACATATTAAACAAAAGGTTAACGCAGGATTAAATCCCAGTTCATGACTGTCGGGAATCGAGGGTGTTACCTACTCGTCCACCGACTTTTTGTTTAAGAAACTAGTTCAGTTTAAAATCACTTTATTAGGTACCGCTCAACAAAAGCAACCTAGTTTATGATAATTGAAACAGTGAATAATATATGAATTTCACATATTAAACAAAATTTTAACGCGGGATTCAAACCCGGTTCATGACTGTCGGGAATCGAGGGTGTTACTCACTCGTCCACCGACTTTTTGTTTAAGAAACTAGCTCTCCAATTAACTTTATTAGGTGCCGCTCAAAAAGAGCAACCTAGATCATCATATTTAAAATATATTGAGGGGGATGGTTATGTACAGGGGTTTATTTACAATTATAATTTATATTGATGTCGTTGGGTCCTCAGGTCCTTGGGGATATTGTTCTTGAGAAGGTTTTTTCTGACTGTTTGATATTCAAGGTGAAGAAACTAGAAGACAATCTATATATACACACGCAAATATTTACATAATTAGAACTTTTCTCAATGAAATATATTATTATTATACAAAAAAGGCCTTCCTTTTTATCTATATAAACAAATTTGTTCTGAGAAAAGGATAGCTGTCATAGGATACAGGGAAAAAACCATCTCACAAAATTCATATTTTCATCTCAAAATGTAATTAATATATTTTCTCACAAATATATTCATTGATTATTATTTAAAAACACATAATATTAATTTAACTTAAAAATAAAAATAGTGACGCATCTAAATAATCAGCTCTTCGCTTTTCATAATCAATTTAACACTATAATTTTGAAAGGTTTTCTGACATTGAACTTTAAAAACGAAACATAAAATGGCAAACCCTTCCTATAAAATTGGTTAGTATATTATTATATAGATAATCTAAGCTAATATGTAAATAATATTTAGGTATATAATTGCATAGTGTATTTTGTATAAATACAATATATATATTTACTTTAAAAATAAGGCTTATTTTGGATTGTAATAAGATTATTTATTAATCCAATATTTCGATGGACCAATCGTCCATCTTTTACGAGGGTTTTTGTTATGAATGCACGCAGCAGTTCGCTTTTCATAATCAATTTCACATTATAATTTCAAAAGGTTTCTGACATTGAACTTTAGAAAAGAAACATAAAATGGCAAACCCTTCCTATAATATTGGTTAGTATATTCTTATATATATAATCTAAGCTATTATGTAAATATTTATGTTTGGTATTGCATAGTGTATTTTGTTGTTGTTGTCGTGTCCATTGAAAAGCCTCAGATGTCTCCATGCATCTCTATCACAGTAGCAGCAATGTCCACTATCTAGTTTATTTTGTATAAAGACAATATATATATATATATATTATTTCACCAAGTTTGGCGTTCAGCCAAGTGAAATTTGGTAAAATAAATGATATTTTGATCCAATATATGCCTTTATATTTAAAGGTTTATTTATGGATTGCTCTATTTTCAAAAAAATATTATGTTGTGCAAATAGAAGTTACTATAAATATTAGTTCTCAAACCTAGTATTAGACGACTACAGCGCCCCCTCTTGGGACTCGCCAAAATAGGGTGCTATAGAGAGGGGGTGCTGTAGACAGGTTTATCTGTATATATATATAAGCTTTCGTTCAAGTTTTCGGATTTATCAGCTCTACGATGGAAGTAACACAATAACTAACTAAACAACGAGGCTTAGTTACTCCTGTCAATAAGAGCTGATAAGCATGAAATCATGAGTCCAAATAATAAAGAATGTAGAAATAAACTTAACCCGGGATTGAATTCTTCAATTAATTAAATTGAACACGGGGGCTTAATATCTATTATAATTATTTTGTTTTTCTAAATAAATATTTGGAATGCTATAATCAGGACCTATAGCCTAAGTAAATCCTGGTTATAAAATAACTTATCATTATATAATATAATATAATGCGGTCTATGATTGTAAAACGACATTTGAAATACCATCCCGCATGTGTTTCTTTTCAACGCGAAAATTCAAAATTTATTTAAAGGAGAAATAACGATTATTTCTAACCTTTTGGATGAGGTATGAAAGGGTGAATTGTAAAGAGTAATGATAAACGGAATCCCTGGACACTTTTATTTTTCCGTTTATCATTACTCTTTACAATTCACCCTTTTATACCTCATCCAAAAGGTTAGAAATAATCGTTATTTCTCTTTGAAATAAATTTTGAATTATCGTTGAAAAGAAGCATGCGAAATTATATAATGTCCCAGTGTAATGTAATAATGTATATGTAAAAATGCTTACGTAACATTGTTTGCATTTATTAATGTATTTATCCTAGTACTAAAAAAAGGCTGTCACGGAAAGACCATGGGTGATGGAAGATTTCTTATTATATTTTTGTGTTCAGCATGAAAAGTTACACTAGAAATACCATCAGGTTCTTTTGGATGAAAATGTTGTTGAACTGTGTAATCAATCATTATTATATTCGGTATAAGTTTTGTTCCATATAAACAAATTGAATGAATTTGACTTTTATATGGAGATATTTGCTAATTGTTTGTCGTGGTTGTAACTAAATGTGAAAATTTGTAATTTATATGAAACTCTAAAGAGACAAAGGTCGCCTCTCCCATCAAAATAGACGTCAAAACTAGACGCCATCTATTGACCGTCGCCGCAAACTAACGGCCTCAGGTCGGTGACAAAGTCACAACACCAGCTTTGTCAAACTAAAAAGCGTCCACCTAGAGATCATGGCAGATTGTCAAGATTCCATTAGATCTCGTGTGGATCTCATGGAATAAAGTCCGCCCTAGGATGGTCTCTAGGTGGACGCTTTTCAGTTTGCCAAAGCTGGTGTTGTGGCTTTGTCATCGACCCGATGCCATTAGTTTGCGGCGACGGTCAATAGATGGCGTCTAGTTTTGACGTCTATTTTGACGGGAGAGGCGACCCTTGTCTCTTTAGATCAATATCCTCCCGACAAAATTTCCATTTATATGAAACTTTTTAAATATTTGAAAAACTTTTGTTATCTCTGCTCTAACAATTTGACATAAGTTTAACGCAGGTTTTTTTTTTTTCAGAGGTGATCAACTTTATTGATGAAAGCTCTTCTGTAAGTATATCAGTTTATATAAAAATTCCAACTGTTTGAATTTATATGTTAATTTTGTAATTATTCCTATTTTTTTAATTCATAGAAGCATTTTTCTCGCAGACATATTCAATTTTTATCATCATCATTTTTGTAATATTATTGGTTTTTTTCTCTTAGTTATCAAATCATTTGCAATTGTAGTTTCTTTTTTGTTTTGTTGTGTGTCTTTTTAAGTAATAAAATATATAGAACAAAGGTGTGAAATTCAAATCAAGCATACGAAACCAACATCGAATCATTTTTAAAACAAAGCAAAATCATAAGCTTATACAACTTTCACTTTTTCCTACACCATCTAAGCCCCTAAAATGTGTGAATGAATATTTCTTATGTAATATGTTAATAGGATACGTTCATATTATAAAATAAATGAAGCTTCCAGAGTTAAATTTCTTATGCAACTTTTTATTTTCAAGCTTTCGGTCTTGTCAGTCCTTCAACAGGATTATCACTTTAACAATTTAATAATAAATACATTTTTTATATACACGTTATTATATACATATTTTAAATTCCTATTATATACTGAGAGAAAAATACACTACATTATTTCTATATATTTATATGAAAAATAGACACTTCGGCCAGTTGGAGTTTTTTATTTTCTCAACGTTTCGACAAATATCTTTTGTCTTCGTCAGGAGAGGTAAATAAAAATAAACATTTGGCAAGGCGTTAAAAATTGTTCTGAGGTTTGCAAGGGCGTTCTCACGTGATTTTTCGAATTTAGTACAACATCTAAAGCGCGAGTCAAAAACAAATATTAAACTCGTCAAAGACTATGATCTTGGAAATAAAAATATATAATAATAAAATTATAATAAATTAAGTAAAAATAAATAAATAAAGTAATATAAAAATAATAATCACAAAGATTAATATATAGATTTCTAACTATTATGTCCATTTTTTATCTAGCTTATTAACTACTTTTTAAATTTAAAAATGAAGCATATTGTTGCGGAATATCTTCAAAAATATTTATAGTTCTTTTCACAAATTCTCGTGATACCCATCCCTCTAAAAATAATCTTTCCTTTTTAAATTTTATATTCCTGTGAAATATCTCAATATCATTCCAATCTGGCCTATGTCCTGAAAATAATGCATGTTCCCCAATTTTGCTTAACGCCCTTCTCCCCAATAAACCCTGTTGGTGTTCCTTAATTCTGGTAGTAGTTTAGTAAAGCGCATCCCCAATTCACTTTAATTGTCGTACGTCCTATTAGAGCCCGCTTCAAAAAATTTGTGTATTATAATTCACTCTAATTGGCTTACGTCTGGAGATTCCCCGTAATAAACTTTAAATAC